CTTCCTTCCTTCCTTCCTTCCATCCTTCCTTCCTTCCTTCCTTCCTTCCTTCCTTCCTCAGCCCTTTTTTATTTTTATTTTGAGACAAGGTCTCACTAAGTCTCTAAGTTGCCCCAGCTGGGCTCGAACTTGGCGATCCTGCCTCAGCCTCCCTGAGTGCTGGGTTCTGGAGTCTACAGCTGAGCGGGTTGGACGCAAGCCTTTCCTTTCATTGTCAGCTGGACACCAGCCAGGCTTGAAAATGCTCTCTTTAAAGAAAGGACTGGGGGGTGGCCCAGGGGTGGAATGTTCTCCTAGCATGCACAAGGCCCTGGTTCCACAAATAAACACAATAAATAAAATGAATCAGGAAGGCGTGAGAAACAGACCCCCCTCCTCCAGCTTTAATGTATTTATTTTGAGCAACTTCCACTAGGCCATAGCCTAGGAGGGCAGGGGACAATGCCAACGCCCCCTCCCTCCGCCCCCGCGCGCCCCTCCCCAAGCTTGCAATCTGAGCCTGCGACACCTGTTCCTGAGCCCAGCTGCCTGTCACGGCCTTGGAATAGTGCAGCTCACCAATGCTAAAGGAGCAGATTCCAGTGTGCGGACCTGTGTGCTAACCAGTGGCCATTTCCTAAGCCCAAGGACAAGAAAGCCACTGAGATCTGGGGGAAGGAGACAGTGCCCAACTCCAAGCAGGAGGCCCAGGCCTCTGCCGACCTCCTGGACAGAGCCCACCACCTGCTCCACGGAGAAGCAATGGACGACGTTCTTGGGAAGGGGCCGCAAGCCAGGACAACTTCCCCAACACCCAGAGGTCTCCTGATAAAAATGGTTGTCATTTCCCACGGTAAAGAGGACAGGTTTTCTTGCAGAATTAGTCTTAGGCATCAGACATAGGCTTATGTTTGACATGCATCTAGTATTCCACTTTCTGTCACAGTGGCTGGTGGGTAACTTCTTTCTGGATCACTCTGATATTGCAGACTGCAAGAAATGTATCCCAGACCCCTTCACCACCCTAGTGATCCTTCAGAAGATACCAGTGGTAGAAATGATTGGACCTAGACACACTTTAGCAAGATTCAGAACAGGAGGAATAACTCATTCATTCATCCATTATCATCCACCCATCCATCCATCCACCCACCCATCCATCCATCCATCCACACAACCATCCATCCATCCACACACCCGTCCATCTACCCACCCATCTACACTTCCATCCATCCATCCATCCATCCACTCATCCACCCACCCACCCATCCACCCATCCATCCATCCATCCATCCACTCACTCATCCATCTATCCACCCATCCACCCACCATCCATCCATCCATCCACCTGTCTATCCATCTGCCCATCCATCCATCCATCCATCCATCCATCTACCCACCCACCCATCCATCCATCCACCCACTCATCCACCCATTCACACATCCATCCATCCATCCATCCATCTACCCATCCATCCATCCATCCACTCATCCATCCATCCATCCACCCTAACTCCCTTGCCATCATTTATCTACTATGTCTTCACTCACTCATCTTCCAAGACGTTGAGATCACAGACATAAAATAAAGACATAGTTCTTATCCCTGAGTTGGGTGAAAAAGTGGAGCAAAGGTTTTTTTTTCTTGTTTTTTTTTTTTTTTTGTCTTTTTGAGACAGGGTCCTGCTATGCAGTTCAGGCTGGCCTTGAGCTCACTTTGTAGCCCAGGCTGGTCTCGAACTCGAAACAATCCTCCTGCATCAGATTCCCAAGTGCTGGGATTACAGGCATGTGCCACCACATCCCATTCAAGGAAGGGTGTTCTAATGGGAATCACTCATGTAAAAGAGAGATGAGGGCAATCATTCGTGGCACACCCCTGGGATCCCAGCACCCTGAGAGGCAGAGGCAGAAAGGTTGCAAGTTCAAGCCCAGCCTGGGCAACTCAGAGACCGAGTGAGACCTTGACTCCAAAAAGAAGAAAAAAAGTTCAGTGCAAAGGTCTTGGGTTCAGTTCCCAGTTGCATGCACATGCATGTACACACACGCACGCATGCACCACACAGGCTCAGCCGTTAGGCACAACGGGAGTGGTGAGTGCTAATGCCACAGGAAAGCACTCCCTGAGGGCCACAGGCCTTGTGGCTTTGATAAGAGATGGGTTTTACCCCGAGGTGACGGAATGACACAGCCAGACTCACTCTGCTGTCACATCTATAAATGACTCATCTGTGCCCTTAGAAAAATGCCACTCTCTCCTGTAAAACAAGAACAGATGGACCTAACAATGCTGTAGACAAACAAAACGTCACTTAAAATGCAATTCACGTAGGGTCACACCAAGGCTAAGTTTTGGAAAAGCTAAGCTTGTTGATGCTTCTCATTTGCCTAGCTCAGGTGCTGGCGGTGCTGGCCAGAGCTGTCCGCCCTTCCAAGACACAGGTCGCTGTCATGTTCCCTGGAGCTTCATTCGTAAAAGCACAGAGATGGAGCCCTGGGGTCTTGCTGAACTGCCCAGGCTGGCCTTAAACTTGAAACCCTTCTGCATCAGCCTCCTAGGTAGCTGGGATTACAGGCATGTGCCACCACAGCCAGCGAGGGAAAAGCTTCCCTACCCTACCCAAACAGAAACGTAGGAGCCTGTGCCCCTGCCTACGTTATGACAGGTCTGATCCCCAGCCACCCCAGTGCCTAAAATGCAACTTGCAGTTCAATCTAGCCAAAGGGAGAGCTCACAGCCAGCTCATCTGCTAATACCAGTATTTAAACCACTGTTACTCTCTGGCTTGAAGTCTTCACTAAGGTGTCGCCTTCTAATGCGATGGTCAGTATTCCCATCTTTATTTAATAATACATATATTTGAATATATTTATTAATATATTTTTTTGTCTTTTTGAGACAGGGTCTCGCTATGCAGTTCAGGCTGGCCTTGAGCTCACTTTGCAGCCCAGGCTGGTCTTGAACTCACAACGATCACAACGATCACTCACAACGATCCACCTGCCTCAGCCTCCTGAGTGCTGGGATTACCGGTAAGCATCACTATGCCTGGTTTATTAATATATTTTCTAAAAAATACATTTACTTTAAAAGAACATCTTCTAAAGGTAGAATTTAAAAAGGTCATTTTGAGTGTTACCATACAATAGGTGAACGTGAAACTTAATGAAATAGAGCTGTAATACACTAACACAAACGTTAGCCCACCATCTTTATCACACTAAACAGATATTTAATCAAAGGAAAATGCACAAGAATCCCTAGAACCTCCAGCGGCGATACCAGCACCTGCTGCACTTCCACGATCCAAGGGTGTTTAAAGTAATGGATCCCAGCTGGGCATGGTGGCACACACCTGTAATCCTCACACTCTGGAAGGCTGAGGCAGGAGGATCCCAAATTCTAGCCCACCCTGGGTAATTTAATGAATTAGCAAGACCCTGTTTTGAAAATAAATAAATAAATAAAAATAAATAAATAATAAACTGCACGAGTTGTGTGAAGGTCCGGGGCTCAATACCCAGTACTGAAAGTACAGAAAAGTAATGATTTTTCAAATTGTAATGGGTGTTTCAATAGCATGTGATTAATAAAAATAAGCAATGTCCATTTGAATGCTTAAAATGATCCCACGCTGATCCAGATCCACTTCCTGGTTCCCCTCTCCCCACTCCAGGTGGCACCCTGCTCTCCACCATGTCTTGGGGGACTTCCCTCGCCCCTCCTTCCTGTGATCCGCAATTTAAGACCCCACGGGGTTGGGACCAGTGACTAAGGAACTCTGTGGCGGGTGACCGGACAGTGGATGGTGGACAGTGGTGGACGGTGGCCTGAGGGTCAACCAGACCCCACCGGCCGGCGGCCAGCCCTCTGGGGCTGGGTTTCACCAGCAGCGGCTCTGCCTCCCTCCAGGAGCCGGCCAGGCGGAGAGGCGAGCCTGAGGGCTGCCGGAGCTGCGGGCTGTTTCCCGCTGGGACCGAGGAAGGAGCCGCTTATCAGCTCTGCTCAAGCTCGGCAGCCCCTGGTGACTCGGGAGGGCAGGACTCCCGGTGCTGCAGAGTGACCCGGGGAGGGTGACCCGGACCCCGGCCAGGGGAACCGGAAGCTGATGACACCTGCCCAGGTGACAGGGAACAGGCCTGCGGCTCCGGGGACACACGGGGGCCGCGGGCAAACCCCAGGCTTTCCTGGGTTGCCAGGCAGGGAGGGTCGGCCCTGTCGCCAGACTGCCGCCCTCCTCTGGGCCTGCGGCCCCTGCACGCGGGCCAGGCGGGGCTCGGCTCAGGGTCACCAACCAGACATCGGGAGGAACAAAGGTCTCCGTGCCAACCTGGGCCCCGGCCGGGCGCTCGGATCGCCCCGGGGCCCACGCGCGTGCCGCAGGGGCCGGGTACCTGTGGGTGCGGGCTGGCGGCATCCCTCGGGCCGGGCTCCTGGCGGCCGGCGCAGCGCGGTCCCCGCCCGCAGCCCCCGGCCCTGGCTGCGCTGCAGCATCGCGGGGCGGGGCTGTGACGTCACCGCATCCCGCGCAGAGCATCCTTAAAGCGGCCGGCCGGGAGCTGGGGACCGGGACCAACACAGAAAGTGCTGCTCAACCGCCCTGCCCATCTGAAGACGCCGAACGCGCTGACGTGAAAACAAACACGCATTCCGGGGCCTCGGAGTGCTTGGTATTTTCCCTTCCGATTTTAAAAGAGATGCACGCGTTTTCCTGTCTTCGTTGGTAAACAGTGGTGGTGTTTTAGAAATAAATATTGTGTGCCCTAAGGTCGTCCCGCTGCACTAAAAGGTCAGCGGTACCCTGAATTCTCTTCCTCATTTCCCAAACTTACTGGTTGCCTGTGCTATGCCAGCCGCTATTTTCAGGGATACAGCAGGGGCCCTAAAGTCCCTGACCTGTGGTGCAACCTTTCAGGGACAAAGATACATATTAAGCACGGCGAAACAAATAGTATGAGAGAAGACAGCTGCTTCCTCTGAAGAGCGGACACCTCAGTTAGGGGGGCTAAGTTCAGAGCGGCTCTGTACAGCACGGGGTCTCTAGTTCACAAGGCATCGGAGACTTGAGAATTCCTGAATGGAGAGTTTAAGCGAAAGTTACGGGGGAGGTTTGAAAGGTTCTCAGCACAAAAAGGCACGTGAGAGGATGCGAATGTTAATAAGCTTGATTTAACTATTTAATAATGGATATCTGTATCAAAACTGCATGTGCACAGTAAACACACAGAATTTTTACTTGCTTATCAATTAGAAGATAAATTTTTTCTTTTTTCTTTTTTTTTGTCTTTTTGAGACGGGGTCTCGCTATGCAGTCCAGGCTGGCCTTGAACTCACTTTGTAGCAGAGGCTTGTTTTGAACTCGCAAGGATCCTCCTGCCTCAGCCTCCCGAGTGCTGGGATTACAGGCGTGTGCCGCCACGCCCAGCTAGAAGATAAATTTTTTTAAAAAGATAACTTTTCAGAGAAAGGGGTTAAGAGAATACGGGACTGTGAGAGGGAGCTGCGTTGCTGTTTGAAATTAGGCTGTCAACATGTCCCCACTTACAAGGTGACATTGAAGAAAAACATGGAGGGGGACAGCCACATTGACATGGGGCAGCCACCCCAGGTACAGGAAGGGGCCGTGCAAAGGGCCTGGGGTACAGTGCAGCTGGGCTCATCCCATGGTGAGCAGCCACATGACCACATGGCCTGTCGTGACCTTACAGCCACAGGGATTGCTGTGGAGACAGCAGCGGCCCTGTGGTCGGGGAGCTGGCGACACAAATCTGATTCTTATTTTGCAACAATCACCAAGCTCAGGAGGGAGAAAGGACTGGAGGATGCGGGAAAGCCAGGCGGGAGGGTTCAGAGTGGGCCTGGGAGAGGCTGGGTGACTGCAGGGACAGGTGCTGGGCGGGGGCAGCGGGAAGAAGTGTCTAGCGAGCTGCTAAGGAAGGCAGGAAGACCCTCAGGCCCTCAGGGCTCAGCCCCAGAGCGGCTTCTTTCTCACTTCTGTGGCCCTGATGGAGGGAAGGTGGGCGGGGGAGGGCCTAGAGGAGCAGGGGAGGTGCCGGCCCTGACTGGGGCCTGCTGACATGGCCACCCCCTGCCGCAAAGCAGGCTGGGAGATGCGGCCCCCATACCCAGGGCGGGGGGTGGCGGCCGGGGAATGCCAGGAGAGCAAGGGCTAGGATCTGGTTTCTGACACAGCTTGCACAGTCAGAGAAAAGGCAAGAGATCCAGGCATGGTTGAGAAGAAAGGAATTTCTAAATATTCCTTTGAGTTGAGCTTGGTGGTGCACGCCTGTAATCCCTGCACTTGGGAGGCTGAGGCAGGAGGACCGCCATGAGTTCGAGGCCAGCCTGGGCTACACAGTGAGTTCAAAGCCAGCCTGGACTACATAGCGAGCTCCTGTCTCAAGAAAAGCCCCTCAAAACACAAAACACAAAACAACAGCAAGGAGAAAAATGTTTCCTTTTAATTTCTTTTAGCCTTCCAAGTGTAGAACGTTCTTTTTTAACCCTTCCGGTCAGATGAGCGCGTGGTTTTTCTCCTCCTGTGTGACACGGTCTCTCCTGTCGCTAGGCCCACACAGGACCCAGCGTTGACAGAGGGGACAGACGCACAGCTGGCGGGGTGGGGGTGGGCATGAGGGGCTGAGCTGACTGCGGGACCCTCAGCCTCAGTGTGGGCAGGATGCAGAGACTTTGGCAGAGAGATCCGGGCAGCAGCGCCGACTCCCAGGAAACCGGGTCCCACCGTGGACGCGGCCGCGCCCAGCTGGAGGTCCCGGGAGCCGCCCTGCGGGCCGGCGTCCACCAGGGGGCGGCAGAGTCCCGCGGAGCTGGCGCAGGCCGGGCCGGGCCTGGTCGACGTTGGGCGGCTGGGTCCGAAGCGAGGTTCGTTCTTCTCCCGAACTCACTTGTCCTGCAAAGCACAGGGCCGCGGGGTTTTATGGGTAACATTAGACAGCAGATTCCGCGCCGGGTTTTTTGTTTTCTGTACTGGGGTTGAAACCCGCGGCCTTCCTAGTAAGTTGCATTCCCAGCCCTTTGTTATTTTCTTAGTTTGAGACACGGTCTCGGTAAGTCATTAAATTGCCCAGCCTGGGGTTGAACTTGGGATCCTCCTGCCTCAGCCTCCTCAAGTGCTGGAATTGCAGGTGTGCCCTACCACTCCTGCCTCATGTTGAAGTTTTTATCCATGCGACTGTTGTCACTTGATGGAATGTGCATGCTCCCCACCATCTTGGTCTTCATCACCATCTTCATCCTGTGGTCCTTCCGGAGCCTGAGCAGTGGGGAGGGGGGCGGGAGGGAGGAAGGCAAGGCTGGAGGCGGAAGTGGAGGCCCGGCCGGGTGTGGTGCTGGGAGACCAGCCACCGCAGGGTTCAGCCGGTCTCAGGGTCCCTCTGACGCTGCCCAGCCTCCACGCACCGGGCTGGGAGGTGGGGGCTAGGCACCCCAAGCCCACAGAGACCTCTCACCCGGACTCAGCAGGCAGCACCCTCTGCAGCAGAACCAGAGCAGAGGCTGTGGACGCCCCCACCTCGAGGGGGCTGGAGGCTCCCCGGGACAGGGGGTGGCAGAATAAAGTACAGGATGTCTCTCCAGCTATGCTGGTGCGTGACTGTAATCCCAGCACTCTGGGAGGCTGAGGCAGGAGGGTCATACATTCCAACTCAGTCTAGGCAAGTTAGCTACTTGGCAAGACCCTGTCTCAAAATTTAACAAGGGGCTGGGGATGTAGCTCAGGGTGACGGCGAGGGGTTCAATCCTGCTACCACAAACAACAGCAAACCAAGCCCACCAACCAAACAGGGTATGCAGTTAAATCTGAATTTCAGATAAACAGGTCCTTTTTACATAGCGGTGTGCTCTGGGCAACACCCCACTCCTGTATTTTGATTTGTTTCCTTGGCAATGCTGTCCCGGTAGCTGGGGGAACCAGGGGCAGCTGGCACCCCTGGGAGTCCGAGGGCCCGGTGGACACAGCCCCAGGGGCATCCAACCTCCGGGATACCAATCCAGAACCTGTGAACGTTGAGCCACTAGCTATGGGACTAATAAACGTGCACGTTGTTTTAAAATAATTTTAATCCTGTACCATCATGTCATGAATTACTGGTTCATGGTTTTTACATTGTGAAATTATACAACAGCAAAGGGCAAGACACAAAGTGAACACGCAGCGATTTCTTACCCACTGCACCCGCCTGCCAGGTCTGCAATAGATGGGTTTGTCACCCAAGTCCCCCCCTTGGGCCATCAGGATTATGGTCCCTTTCTTCTCTCAGCTCCTGCCAATAATTTTCACTTGGGGAGGCTGAGGCAGGAGGATCAAAAGTTTGAGTCCTGCTTGGGCAACATAGCAAGGCCTTCTCTCAAAATAAAAAATAAGGGGCTGGGGACGTGACTCAATGAAAAGGCTGTGGGTTTAATCCCCTGGACAGGAAAAAAAAAAAGAGTTAATCATGATTTTGGGGGTTGTTTTTTGTTTTTGTTTTGTACTGGGAATAGAACTCACGACCTCATAATTGCCAAGCAAGCGCTGTACCCCTGAGCTATATCCCCAGCCCTGGTAACCGCGATTTTGACTTTTCTGTTTACTTCCCGGCCTTTTCCTCTAACGTGTGTCTTAGTTGGGGCTCTCCCAAAGCTGGTGGTTTATCTGGAAAGCGATCCAAGGGGCAGGAAGAGGGCTGGGTAGGAAGGGAGGAAAGGAGCCGGGGACTCGGCTCGGTGGTGGAACGCTCCTCCAGCGGGAGGCCCTGGGTCACCGAGTCGGGCACCTCAGGCCTAGGCCTGCTCAGAAGTTATTACTCATGAAGCCCAAGGTCACGGCACCAGCACCTTCTGCTGGCCTCCTTGTGGCAGAAGGACTCGGGGCTCCCTGTGGCCTCCTTGAACACGCAGCGACTTTGCTGTTTTATCTATTATGTGTAGATCTATCCTTTATCTAGAATTCACTTTTGGCTTTGGAAGCGAGTCGAGCTCATGCACGAGGCCCACCCCACGACCCAGCCACCCGGAGAGTTCCCGTCTCCGACACCATCGCAGCGGGGCTACGGCTCCGTGTGTACAGAGGGGTCGCCAGCATTCTGTCCGCAGTGCCTTCTACTGGTCCTCCTGGGACGGGGACGGGGCCATTTATTTACAAAGTCCAGCTGAGGGTCCCGGAGTGTTACCTTCCCTGGGTTTGTAGGTGGCTGCCTCAGTCTGCTCCGGCAGCTATGACAAAGGCCCTTGACCAAGTGTCTTCAAGAGCGGATGTGTCTTCTCACACGTGGAGGGGCGGGAGCAGGGGCTCTTCTGGTGCAGGTGGCCACCTTCCTCCTGTGTCCTCATGTGGCCATCGCTAGCCCAGCAGGGTGAGATTCCCGCCGGTAACCTTGAGGACGTCTACGGAGGCCCCCGCTGCACGGGTGTTAGGGCTTCAGCAGGAACTGGGGGGCACAGTCCCATCCGCAGTGATTCCTGAATACCCGTGAAGGTGCCAAGAAAGCTCGGGGGCTTGAGGCAGGGACGGCCACCGCTAGGACAGTGTCCCTGGGTGGCTCCGCCTACTGCAGCCTCAGGAGCTTGTGCTGACATCCATTCCTGCACTCAAGGATTTAGTCC